CGTGGAATATTCGATCGCTGAGTCAGTGTTAAAAGTCCATGATGGAAAAAAGCCGTGATAAGTATTGAAGTAATTCGGTTGATGTGTAGAGAAACTGCATATTGAGGTGTCCGTAATCGATGCCCCATGCTCCGGGAGACCTGGGTCGGAGTGCTGAAGGTGGAATTTTTAACAAACAATTCACAGCAACGACTTTAAAATTTGAACTCCGATGGGTATTCAACACAATTCGTTTTTCAAAATTAATTTACAGGTACAGTTTGTAACAGTTATTCATGAAATGAATTTGCTATGGATATCATAATGTAACGAGTTTTGTAAAAGCAATACCTATTTTAAAAACATCTCTTCCTGATCAAACCTGTAACATTCAAAATTTTGTTTACGACGACGTGAAGACGGCGGTTACATATCGTTGCAGTCAATGCGGATGCACAATGAAATTTAGATTTATTTAGTCAAAAAACAGTAACAACTGTATGTGACGTTTAGGGGAGATCTGCGCACGTAGTCTTGAGTTCCAGACTCCCTTGCCATCATTTTAACTATAACATTTTCATTTAGATGGAGATAGAAACTTAAACAATTTCAATTGGGTGGAATGTGAGGACGTGCAGTTGCTAATTATTGCTATGATTATTCTACATGAACGTCTTAGTTACGATATCAATTTTACTCATTTGTTTCAAACAACGTGTTCCTTTGGTTATAGAGTATATGTGTTAGATAATAATGATATATGTTATACTGAAGTCATAATCCAACTTGCCTTACCCACAGTTCAGCGGACGAATTCGGGAAATCCTCAGAAGTACAAATTCTGATAATTTCCGAAGTATAACGTTTCTCTATGGTAATCTACCGTACGCTCCACACTTCTTAATGACTAAAATTTACTTGTGTAATTGCGTTTAACAATTCAACTTTGTCTATTTACCTGAACTCTTATGGGATTCTTTCTTGAAACCATTTCAACATTTTGAAACATACTACGGATTCAAGATTTGTTGTTTCCCGTAAAATCCTGGCTTCGAATTATGTGAATCAAACCTTCACTATTCGAATTGAACAAACAATTTCAACTGTGGTTTGAATAAGATAGTCGAGGGGAACAACATTTCTTCGAATTATTCAATGTCGAAAGAACCATAGCTCATTGTAATTTCATCGAATGAAACCATTGTTTGGAAGACTGTTCTGAAATCAGGCAGATCTCAATGGTTTTCTCTCATTGAAGACGGATTCCTAAACATTGTCATTCCCTGAGAGCGGACTGTTCTCTATTCCATGACATTCTTGCCCCATCCCAACTGCCGGATGTTGGACTCACCTCTTTATAAGGCCCTTCCGGTTCGAACCAAAGCAAGTCTTCGGCAATCCTACTAGTATGTGGATATTCGAACAGAAGTTGCCAAATTCGTTATTAAAACGATGTTGTTAAGTCTTAAAATGTAGTACAAGAGTTGCATGTGAAATATTTGTTGAGTACTGTTGATATCGATACATTATGAACGTTAATACTTGGTGCACCTGTTACAGAACGTGGATATTTGTATTGTATGTAAACGTGCGACCTCCCTTGAGTAAGTTTCGACAAATCCACCAAGAGAGGGTTGCAGGACCCACGTGAAAGGCACATATGACCAAGAAGCAATACCAAGAAGAAGAGGTTACGGGTGAAGCAACAGATTGTGTTTCTGGCGAAGCAGACGACCTGCCTACCAACGCCTGGTCCCCAGAGACTTCTATTCTTGGAAGGCGCATTCCGCGCAAGGTGTTAAATGAGCCTGACTTCCCAATGTTGGCCGCGTGAGGTGGATAGTGGCCGCAGAGAACATCAGGTGCGCGCTAGGCTGTGGCGGATGGTTGGAGCCCAGCTAGCATACGTTCATGAAGCTCTCGCCTCCACTTTCATTTTCAAACTGATGATACAACAGCACCTACTGTCTCGTATTATTTCAAACTTGTGCAATTTTCGAAAAATCATTTATTTCCACGAAAATAAGACTTGCGTTAATCTTTTAAGCGTCTTTTACACTATTTGGAGGAGAAAGTTCAATAAAAATTTGGAGCCATTTTGGGGGAAATTTTGAAAATATAAATGAGACATCATGTAAAGTAGCCCCCAAAATTAAAATATCAGTTTCAAACTCGCAGTTCCACGTGTTTCTTTAAATCCACTGGGGAATATCAAGTTTGGGGAAAATCGGCTGAACGATTTAGACGCTAGCGTTGACCACAGACAGACGTTTGTCGTCAATCGATTTTTCAGTATCAAAGACGCACAAAACAAAGATTCTGACTACAAAACGTGTGATAAATTAGAGGAAGTAATTTATTATGTATAGGAACAAGATTAATCCACTTTGTTTTTGCCAGGACTCGGCAATAAGAGTTTTTCTGTCGAAAATTCACCATTTCCGGCGGGCTATTACAATACTTTCTCTTCTTACAAAGTTAGCGCGAGAAAGTAAAATCGCCGTTTTTATATGCAACAATACTTTTTCTATACTGCCCAAACGGTACACTTAATATAAGAACGGGCGAATATTTTCATTTTTTCAGTGAAAATTGTAGTTTTTTTTCAGTTTTTGCGTACATTGGAAATTAGTTATATAAATGTTGATTTTTTTCCCGAGAACCTAGGTATCTAAAAAAAAGCATTGAGGCCTCTGAAATGGGCAGAGGCTGCGTAGTTTTCTTCAAATTTCTGCGCACATTGAAAAGCAATAATATAGATTATAACGTAGATGGTTAATAGCCAGCGACGCGTAATAAAATTGTGGTTTTTTGTGCATTAGACTGAGACATATCAGAGATGGTAACTAGATGAGTGGATGTTAATGTTTTGAATAATGGAATAAATGCTGGAATGAGTTGCATAGGAAACAGAAAAACTCCAAGAAAAGTTGCCGCGAACCAGCTTTGTTCACTAGGAACTCCTCAAGGACCGAGCGAGCTTTAAATCCCGGTTCCCAGTAAGGATGAAACATCGATGTCGATGTTTTCCAAACCGATGATTTTATAGAAATATTTTATAGAAAAAGTTTTAAATATCGATGTATTGAAGCCGATATTTTTATAATCGATGTTTTGAAATGAAAAATGTCCTTAAACAGGATGTTGTAAGCGTTAAAATATGAAATAATAGATGATAAAACAATGTCAGTTTGTGTTCGATCCAAACGAACGTTGTACCACATTTATCGAGCAGACTATCTCTCGCCCGAGACGACCCCGACGCCCTGGGTTTTTTGTACATCTGTTCTCCTATTTTGCACAAGGAGAGACGATTTTAACTTCGTTTTCACTTAAATAATAATTATATATTAATAAACTGGGCCACTGTCAAATTAAATTTTGTTGCCCGCGAATTTAATGCTATAGGTTACTAAACCTGTTTGAAAATATCGATAAGCATGGTTTTTGGGCGATGTATTATCGATGTTTGGAAACACCGTTGTTTAGTCATCGATGTCGCATCACTAGTTCCCAGAGAAAACCAGAGGAAAGCCGGCGCGCTCGCCGCTACGCTGCGGAGCGTTCCGTCTGGTGGGACGTTGAGAAGAGAAAGAGGCACCTCGTGCCGCCCCCGCGCCTCCGACCCCTCGCCGCGCCGCACCACGCCGCTCCGCTCCGCGCCGCGCGGGCGATGCGGGCGGTGACCGAACCCGCGATCTGTTCGCCAGGAATCCGGTCGCGCGTCTTTCGCAGCTTTCGTCGGTCCGGGGGGCGAGGGGGCAGGGGGCGACGTCTGGTGAGTGCCCTCCTCCCGAGCCCCCCTCTCTGTCGCCGCAGCCACGTGCCGCCGAACGGTCAGCTGAAGACGAGGCACTGACTCAACGGAGCACATGTTTCTGTAGATATGTACATGGAAACGGAAATTAAACTTTGCAAGAACATGGGCTTATGAATGAATGATTGAATACGGTATATTCTCAATTATATTGGTTCCTGAACGCAGCATGCGGTAGCCTACTGCTTATATCAGGCAAGGTGAACTACCGTGATATGAAATAATTCTATTCTATTCTATATTCATAGTTATTGTTACATTTGATGTCATTTGAAATAAACTATTCTATTTATTTATTAAAAATAATGACATATATCAACAACACTGAAGTAAATGCAAATACTGCAGCCCACAAAACTCTACAGTCTTTACATTTTGTCGCATCTCAAAATCTCTAGGGGCCTACTCCGTTTATTTTAAATATCGAGATGCACTTGTGCCAGAACGTCGTTCCAGTGCGGTTTGGGAGTCGGTTGTACGGATTTCGGGTCTATAATATTGAATTAAACAATTCGGTTCCGGAAAGCTTATGAATGAGATCCGGCCTAAATATGATAATCGATTGTCAGTGACATTTCATTGTGGTTACTAATGGGCATATGAAAATTGGCCTATTTAATCCAGAGGTGGCAACTTTGAAGCAGAGCTTGAACTTTCATATTACATGCCTACCCTCTTCGTTGGATGACGGTAGGAGTATCAAAAATAATCTAATGGACCTATTCCGATTTATCTGAACGGTTTCGATTTCTACCTCTTTCACTGTTTGCTGAGTCCTTTACAATATCCCATGAGGAATGATAGAAGGTTGAATATCAAAATCACCGCGAAGGAATGAAGATTGAGTAAGGTTGAATCCTTGTAGCTGGAGTCTGATGCTATCTTCAACTCTTTCTAGTGCCAAGTCCTTGTAAAATGCGAAATCTAACTTCCGCCAACTCCGCGAAATCTTCAAGGCTTATTGTAGAAGGTCTTAATCTTCATATTTCGTTTTAAAGCAAGGACCTGAGTACATGATTCTACTACAACATTAAAATAACCTGTCAATGATAATATAGTTTACATCTCGTTGACTGTTCGAAGAACAAGTTAACAGCTGCATGTGTAATTTATTAAGAAAATGCATGGTTGTCTAGCTCTGACTGACATTTTTATTTTAAAATAGTTAAATATCTTGCTCTAAATGACTGATGTATTGGTGCAGGTTGCTCGATGTGTGCTACGGTCAGAGGGTAGATAAGGAACAGAGGCTGGTGTTATTCCTGGTCTTTGAGCATATCGATCAGGATCTCAGTTCCTACATGGAGCGCGTGCCTCCCCCAGGCATGCCTCCGGCGAGGGTCAAGGTATGTATATTGATTTTTTCAATATTGCTGTTTATTTTATTAGGCATGATGGACAGTGTTTTGAAAATTATTTATGAAAATGTAAAAATTACTCTACTAAATTTTAGAAAATTGTTTTGCAATAATCTCTTGAGAGTTTTTGAGAATTTTTAAAATAAATTTTCAATAAATTAATCGGAAATAGCGAGAAAACTATTCGTTTTTTAATCGTACTTGTCATTTTTTTAAAGATCTTATTTTAAAAAAACAGACTAATTTAAGATAAAAATATCTCAATATTGTACTTTTGCGATGTTAATTGTTTGCAGTTTTCGAAATTACAGTGAGTTCGCAAAAATTGATATTAGCTAGACCTTTTTACCGTTCTTTGATGGTAGAGGATTGCTAGGAGAAAATTTAAAGAATAAAATTGCAGCCGTTTTTGAGAAAACATTTGTTTTAAAATTACCAATATTTCACGCAAAATTACGCGGAAACTACTCATATTTTCGAAAAATACAACATGACTGTTTCAAGATGTCTTTAAACAACAGATTTCATTCAGGAAAACTCTCTATCTTCAATTTTGTAACTGTAGGGAGATGCCGAAAAAATTTTGAACTTTTGCAATTTTCGAACAATTAGGCATTTTAACGAAGTTGAGACCCACGCCATTTAAGAGTTCTTTAAGGACAAAGTTTAATAAAAGTGCAGAAAGTTTAGAGAAAATTTTGAAAATGTTGAAGCTTCAGATAAAGTATTCTCCAAAATCAAAATATTCGTTTCAGACTCCCAAATTCTCGGGTTCGTTCAAACTGATCCGGGAATAACAATTTTGGAAAAAATTGTGTGAACGGTTTAGGCGCAAACGTTGAACACAGGCAGGTAAACGGACAGTCGTTTTGCCGTTAATCGAATTTTCGGTATCGAAGACCAACAAAACATAGGTTTTAACTACATAACGTGATAGTTAGATAATTTAGGATCAAGATGGGAATTAATAAATAAGAAACACATATAGAAACAAGATTTATCCAATTTTTCGTAACCAGGGCCCTGCAAAAAGTTATTTTCCGTGGAAAATCGCGGAATTCCAGTGCATAATTACAATACTTTCTCTTTTTACAAAAAAGGCGAAAAAGTAAAGTATCTTCAACATTGCTATTGTAGCAAGACGCCGTAACATTTTTAACGTTTGCAAGTTTTGAAAATTCAGAGTTCACATTATTGTCATGACGAAATTTGCGTGGTCAGACGGAAGAGCGGATGGCCCGAGTCCCGCCACGTAAAATAAGGCAAATTCAATTCAATTAGTTTCGTCCAGTGATCTGTTTCTAGACCTACAAATTACCAAAGTAATGCTCTTTGGAATTTAGGTCATAAAAACAATATTTCAAAAATATGTATGTAATATTTGAATTCCTATCATTCAATCTTTTTTATAGAATAATTTGTCACAACAAAATCCTAATATAGGGGAACATTAATGAGGAACGTACAAATATTCTTATATTTTCTATATTTAATCTGTGAAGAACATAGTAATAACTTATTTACCCAAGATGATTTAAACAAATTATGTGTTTTAAAAAATATATTTTGAAATTATGTTATTTTTGTTTTAGGAAATTATGTTCCAGATCTTGTGTGGCGTTGATTTCCTGCACAGTCATCGTATAATTCACAGGGATTTAAAACCTCAAAATGTGCTTATTTCATCTGGTGGAGTAGTCAAACTTGCTGATTTTGGGCTAGCAAAAGCTTATGACTTTGAAATGCGTCTTACTTCTGTGGTATGTTAGTTTTTATTTATTCATATCTGATTTAATTTGTTTGTTGTCTTAAGATACATTTATTTATTTATATAATTGTAGCATTTGCAAATGTAAAATAATGCATAACTTGATGTTAACTATCATCTTCCTCTTTAATTACAAGAATTAAGACCCTTTCATATATTATTAGTTATTAAATAGTTCCATTTATGTTTTTACACGCCTTAAAAACTCCCAAATTTCAGTTAGTTTTAAAACTAAATTTAATGTATAAAGTTATCGATCTTATGATCTTCTATTGATAGTTTTTATTCTAAGATAAAATAATTTATGGAGATTCACATAAAAAAATATTCAAATCAAGAAATATCTCATTTATCATTAAGTGCAGTAGGACCTCTCTAATTCGAACCCCGCAAATGAACAACTGTAGAACTGTAGAAGTGAACAACTAATTATTGAAACACAAGTTGTGGAAATGAAATGTTTGTTACACTGGTAACTACTGTGTACATGACATGTTTATGCAGCAGTTATGTACACTTACCAAAATTGGTAATCTTCTTTTGCCATAAGGAACTGAATCTGCTTGATGATTCGATGTAATAATGTGATCGCTGCGTTATGTTGCAATTTTCTCACATTGCACGTACAATGTATTGTGTGGTAATACCATGTATGTATTTGTGCATGTACGGTAAATTTTTTCGGATAATCCTAACATTTCCAAATTCAAACTGACCACACCCCTGATTAGTTTGGAGTTCTGGGGTACTACTGTACGTAGAAGGACAAAATTAGGGAGATTATTTCATGAAAAAAATATATGTGAGGTTTTATAGAACAGTCAATAGTTGTATGAATATGAGTTTCAATGATGTTTTATGAAGCTCAATTAAAAATTTTTAAGATTGTAACTCAAAATCTGATAGTCTAACAATTATTAAGCGGACATTTGAATCCAGTACTGGGAGTAGTGTTTCTCAGATATCAGCCATTCAGTGATAAATAAAGCATTGTAGCTCATGCATCATGGATTCTGCAAAAGATAGATATTCAGTTGATAAAAGTGAAGAGAAGGGCAAAGCTTGTCATGTCAGTTCAGATGAGCATTACAGACTGCCTCCTGGATTAAATAATTGTTTCTGCCCAAATTTTTGTCAATATTCTTCTAATTTGTTCCTGTAGAGGCAGGTTTGATAAGCTAGTTCAATAATTCAGTGAATAATAACAGAGCAAAGTTACATTGTATTAAACAAGTGAATGTGAATATCCACGTCTTTAAGAAATTTTTATGATTATAATACTGAATTATTGACACTTATGCTAGTTTTATTAGTTTGAATTTTAGAAAGACAGAAAACCTGTTTATTAATATGATTGTCAGGCCTGGTATTATCTTGATTTCAAAATGCATTATTCATTCTGTAACTTCTGTTATCTCACAAAGTTTTAGGATTTATTATAAAGGGCTATTCATATACGTGCATGCTATTGCAGGGAGAAGAGGTTGGGTTCTTAGTTACAAAATTCTGATGGAGGGAGGAGAGTAATTGAAATGTGTACATATACTACAAAAATTGGTGTTCAGGACATTTTGATAGAATAGAAGTTGTTTGAAGAAAAATGTTGTAAGGTTAACTATTTTCTTTCCCCTATGCACTTTTTTTATTATTATAATTTTTTAGTTATTTATTGCAATGAGGGGTATGTAGATGATGTATACATACATTGGGGTATAACTTGAGCATGTACCTTTTGAGAGTATCCTACGATGAGGTTATTTAAGTAAAGTTGTATAATGAGGGAACTTCATAAAGGTTTCATAAGGGTTTTTGAGAGAAAAAATGCACTATTTCATGTCTTTTAGAAATTTTCTTGTTCTCTGTCAAGAAAATCAGTGAAAACTACAAATCATTGATATAAAATATGAATGTATTTTATTGTAGACTTGAAAATAATAATGTACGTAACCTTAAGTATCTTATTTTTAATCACCCTTTGAAGTTACTTTTCTCAAGGGTAAGTGTTATGCTTTCATATCAAATGTTCTATGAACTAGAGTGTTTTCCTATTTTGTTTTAGGTTGTGACCTTATGGTATCGTGCTCCAGAAGTGTTACTTCTTCAGGCATATGCCACACCAGTTGATGTGTGGTCCTGTGGCTGCATGTTTGCTGAGTTGTTTCGTTTAAAGCCAATGTTCATGGGAAAATCCGAAGCTAATCAACTTGATCAAATTTTTGAGTGAGTACTTCTGAATTTGAGAAAATTATATTTTGAAGACAATTCAAGTTGACCACCTTTCTGGAAAACCTACAAAAGGCAGGGAATTTCATTGATCAGCGAAAATCAGGGAATTCAAATCTTTAGAAGTCAAGGGAATTTTTGAGGATAATAAAAGAAAAAATATATTATTCCTTACATAATTCTGGTTCCATGTTATTTTTGGCACAGGTTTTATTTGTTTAACTGATATTGTTAATTTCGTCTAATGCAGGGTGTAATCTGTAGAATTAGTGGCTGGTATCTAAGTCTTCCTTTTACTGCATATTTTCTTTCTTAACACAGTGCAAATTTTATCAGAAAATACCATTTTAATGTAATAGAAAATTAGGAAAATTTGTTCCAGAAAAGAGTGACTGCCTTGCAACTTATGATGTATTACAAAAAAGGAAACTAAACCTCTGCCAATCCTGTTAAAATAAGTGCAATATGTGACAGCTCAGAAAACTCAATAATACTTCAGCGTATTTGAGTCTGAACATTGTGCAATCTAATTGTAGATAATATGGAGTATTTTTATCCATATTGGCTGAAATGATGCTAATTGTGTATTTGTGTATCTTACTCTCCCTTTTATAGTTGACATTCATAAAATCAGGGAAAAGTTTTAATGTAATTTTATATTGTAAGAATATTAATATTAACTTTATATCACCTTCAGTATAAATATTAATCTGTTGTAAATTCTCCTTTATTTTGTTTTAAAATTTCCTTGTTAATGATACTTTGTTGTGATCACTTATTACTCTTCTATTACATCAAGTTACTTAAACCACAACAGGAAAAATCAGTGTTATGTGAAAACACTCTAACAAAATGTTCTAATACATGTCTAGTAAATGTCTTTTAGTTGTAAAGTATACATTCTATTGAAAAACAGATTTTTAAACATTTAACCAAATAATTTGTTCTGGTTGTATCAGAAAACTTGTATTAGAGAACAATGCATATGATTTTCAAAGAACTGATATATTTGATGTGTTAAAAAAATAGACTAAAGGAATATCATTTTAGAAGCTGAATATTCAAAGCAGATTGTTAAAATGTTCACAATCTTATTCAAGGGACATTTGCATTTGCTAATCCAAATTTTCTTTAACACTGTCCTCAAATAAAAGGCTGTATTTTTCTTTAGTGACTGTTAAGAAAACATTCTCAAACTTTATTGTTTCATTTAATCTGAACAGATTTTTTTATTATTTTTTCCCTGAAAAGCACACTACATTCAATTGATTAAAAATAAATAACCTCGTATTTTGTCATAAATTGGAGAAAATGGTTTATAATGGCTTGGTTTGTCACTCATACAGTATCTTGACCAAAAATATATCCTCACCAGAGCTAACAAATCACCCTCTTCAAATTGCTTCTCCAAAATTGTGTTTTATTTTATCAAACTCATGCAGCTGCATGAAGTGGTAGTTCTACATCCACCACGAATATGAATGAAGCTTTGTTTTGCATAAGGTTCAATAACTGTTTAGGATTCTGATCCCACCAATTAACTATCAAGATCTTGAATGAATGTCAGTTTTGTCAGTTGGAGTGCTAGCAAATTCTGAAAACTAAGGGAATGTTTTTCTTCCTTTTCATTTTGTCAAGTTCCTTTTTTAATGCAGTTGTGTACTTCCCACCAACAATAAGTCAAGCTGTGTTAATGTTAAGAGTGTTGATTGGAGTTCTAGCACATTTTCAGATCATTATTAATAATTTCTGTCCTTTTCATTTTATTCAGCTTCATTTCAAAATAATAAAGTATGAATTTCTGTTCATTAGAGTTACTGGTACTCTGAGACAGGAAGACTGGCCTGAGAGCTCCCCGTTACCTTGGAGCTCCTTCACTCCTAGACCACCAGCTAACATTGCAGTATATGTGCCTACGTGTTGTAACCTGGGAGTAGATCTAATGGAGGTATGATGAAATAATGTCTATAAGAAATCTATGCAGAGAGATAACTTAATTTTTGGATTTTGGTTTTTCAATTTGTTCTGTTTGTTTTCATGAAGACTTGATAAATCTAGACAGTATTTTGAAATTGATGCTTCTTTCTTCTTATAACAGTTATGACAAAGCTTTTATTGCCTCTAGATGTTCATTTTAAACTCTTATGTTAAATATGGAGGGAATGAAGGATGACTCCTATGTAGGATACTATTATTTTTAGAGAGTAATAATTGTGTTGTTAATTTTTAGTTTAATAATTTTGTTTGTACTTTTACATATTCTGTTCTTGAATTACAAGCAATAGTCTTACAGAGGTATTCTGTTGTGTGTATTTATCTAGTGTTTATTAACTTTATCAGAGACAATTTTTTATAGAGATATTTTTTTATTATTTTCTTGTTATGCAAGAAAGATGATTCTGACTTACATCATATGATAGAACCTCCAAAATTTAATAGTTTTGGCAATTATTACATTGTTATTAAATATATTTTATTAGTATAAATATGAAGTTCCGGACAAAAAATGTCAAGTTTTTCTATGATAATATATATATGATATCTATTTTATTTATTTACTTGAAAAAATGAGAATTTATTGGTGAAAATTAATTTACATTAAAAATGTTGTTTTAATTCTGGTAAGTATAAATATTGACATCTTAAACACCATCAAAATAATTTTTCTTGTTTGTAGAATATTTTCTTAAACATGTTTTTAAAATTTCTTTTTAATCTCTTTTACAGAAAATGCTGAAGTTAAATCCATCTGAGAGAATAAGTGCATCAAATGCCCTGAGCCATGCTTATTTTGTCAGCGAAGGATACAAGAGACCTCATCTTACCCCTCAGGTTTCAAATCCCCCTGTCACTACCATGGCATCACAAGGCTCTTCCAGCCGTTCATCATACTGATGGTTTGTATATGCATATTTTGTACATTGTTGATAATAATTTAAATATAATGGTGTTCAGTTTTAAGAGAAAGACCAAGTACTTTGTTACCAGATTGTGATCCTTATCAGATGGTAATGAAAAATCTTTAAATAATACATGAAAGTTGACATGTTAATTCTTTATTAAGAAACATTGATCTTTAATATCTTTTTCCACATTTCCACTTACTGGTTTTCCTTGTAAGTTCATCATATAATATTGATTCATCAATTGGGCTGTTTATTTATTTCAAGGGAACAAGGAGAATATTAGAGGAGAATTTTATTAAATTGCAGATTAAACGCAAAATATATAATTGCTGTGATTTTTGCAATGAATTTTAAATTGCTCCTGGATGCAGGAGCCCCATGTAATATGTGATTTTCGTTCAGTGTTCCTAGAGCAAATGTGGTTCTTTATTCCCTTCTAGACAGTAAATATGGCTTAATTCCCCAACACAGTTTAAATAGTTTTTATGTAATAAATTATTATTATTATTATTATTATTATTATTATTATTATTATTATCATTATCATTATCATTATCATCATCATCTTCTTCTTCTTCATCTTCTTCATCATCAGCATTTTTATAATTCCTACTAATGTAGCTCTGTTATTTAAAAGAAACATTTAGATACTAGATATAAATTCTAGTGGTAAAACCCTAAACCTAAATAGCTTATCCCAAACATTTATTTTTTAGGAATCTCACAATGTAGATTGCCTTAAATTAATATACCATTTGGAGAAAATAATTTGGCATTGTACAACATGTTATACACAACTTCCTCAATATCAAAAGAATGCCTAAAATATAAAACTTTCCTCAAATCCATTATAGGAGAATATGAAATAAACATTATGACACAAGTTATTTAGATAGTAGCTCTTAGCTTGTGTCATAATGTTTATTTATTTATTCATTAGATTTTTCATATACTATACTTAATTTTGTTATAAAATTAGTCAAATTAAAACCATAAAAATGAATAATGCGACCATCACAAAATCACTTCACACATACAGAGGACTGAGACAATGATGCAGCATATCATCCAACTTTTATAATATTTATGCCAACTGTCTCTTCAAAGAATGAAAGAAGTCAGTAAATCATGGTATACAACTTCACAAAAAACTAACTATTCAAACAGTCCTGTTTGCAGATGACCAAATAATTTTGGCTGAATCAGAAAATGAATTTCAAATAGCAACACATGAACTGAATAAAATAGCACAGACCTATGACATGAAAATCTCGACAAGAAAACAAACAAAAACAATGGCATTCCAAGGAAAGGAACTAAGAGTGAAGATAGTCTTTGAAAGGGAAATAATAGAGCAAGTATCAACATTCAATTATCTAGGCAATGACATTGGACTAAAATCCCAGGACCTCCAACAGAATTTTAAAATATAATAGAATAAATGGAATAATTAAAAGGCACTTTGGGATGGACATGACACGAGAAACAAAATTAAGAATACACAACATGACCGCCAAACCAATGTTATTATATGGAGCAGAAACCTGGATCCTAAAACAAAGAGACAACCAAAGACTAGAAGTAGCTCAAATAAGGTTCCTAAGACACATCCTTGGCTATACTACACTGGATCGATAGAGAAATAAAGACATAAGGAAAAGATTGATGACAACATACACAAGAGAGGAAGTTAAAATGGCTGGAACATATTAAAAGAATGCAAGAAGGAAGATTCTTAAAGGCTGCCCTAAAATGTAAGCCACTTGGACAGAGAGGTATAGGAAGACCAAGAAAGAAATTTGTCATGCGGGAACATCTGGAAGACTGAAGTATTTCAGGTCTACTGCTTAATCAGGAACAGGTCCCCCCTGGCCTTTCATCCTGCAGTTCATGGTGATGATGATGATGAAAACATACTTAATGTGATAAACAGAAACAATTATATACAATCTTTCAACTCTTCATTGAGTTATCATAAGTTACATGAAAGTGGATCTATAATAATAAAAATATTATAAGCTGCTTGTTTTTCTTATAACAGATTAATTTTCATATACCTGATGAGAACTACTATAAAGAATTGAAACATTATATACCATCAGTTTTGTTTATCATAATGGGTTTCTTTTCATTTGGGCAAATTTATAATAAAAGTTCCTACAACAGATGCTAACACATTCAGGTTGCTGCCCATAGAATGTGCAGGTGCCGATAGGTCCCCTTAAATTATGATGCCCGTAGAATCAATGGCATGTATTCATACTGAATATTTGCTTATGTATGCCATTTTTCTGATCGCTGAGTATTCATGGAGGTTTCTACTCTAAGTACCTCCAAATACAGTGCTAAATTTCCTTTGCTGCCATTTAATTGGTAATAAATAACTTTGGAATCCATTGATGAGCATGCCCTCTGCAGTGATGCCTAAGAAGAGTTCTTCAAAGTTACCACACCAAAGCCAATTATTGGGAATAAAAAATAATGTGTTCTTCATTATTGAAATAGTCACAAATGTAATGTTATGTTTAATGTTCTAATATTAACTAAATTTATAAGAATTCAATTAAAATAAACATGTTAAACTTTTTTGGGGATTTTTTGTGTTATTTGTGTTAAAAAATCTTTTAAATTATTAATGTAAACATAAAAGTAGGAACTTCATACAAAAGAACAATGTTGTTGCTTCAAAATAAAGAAAAAATCTTGCATCTATGATTATTGGGTTAGAATATGTATGTGTAGAATGTATGTATATATGTATGTGTAGAATATGTCAATAAATCCCAAAACCTTACGTGGTCAATCTGTGATGGAAAAGAGTTGGGCAGAGGCTACGACCTGAATGTGTTAATCACTCCACATATTTATTGATATGTGATGTTAATCACATATATGTTTTGATGTTAATCACAACTCATATTTAGTTGTAGTCTAAACTTAATCTTCTATTTTTTTCATCTTTGTGTGGTCTAATTTGTGGTTTCCATATTTTTTTGCACAGGAGAAATGGAGCAATAGTCTGATTTTTTGCCAAGACTGTTATCACAACTGCCTGGCCATCTTTAATTCACATTGCTTGTGAAGAATTTTATATGATAAATGGTGCTGATGTAAGTAGGCAGACATGATGATACTACATGTTGTGAAATGCAATAATTTGTGTGGGTGAAGTTGATTATGAACACAAATAGAGATAATGTTTATTTATTGCATGTCCTATTTTTGTATTACATTTTGAAAACAGATAATGTGATTGTTCCCATGGCTGTGAAGCAAATCGATTGTAGACTTACATTGCATCAGAATTTTACTTAATCTTGTTCTATTAATGTATGGATGCAATGTTTATATTTAAGGTGGAACTTGATATGCCCATACATTTTTATCTGAGGTGTTTCCTTCATTTTTAAATGAAAACTCTTAATTGAAAAACAATGATGATTATGTCAGATAATGAATTCAGAAGAGAACATTTGTAATAAGTGTCCTGAATAAATAATAAGTGATGCAAAAATTTCTGTGGAGAACAAAGTTAAGGACATGATAATAAGTTTGAGATGTTGAATCTCTTCAGTTTTAATGCACATTTGTGCTTCTTATTGACTTGTTCTTTGTGAGGCTTTGTAAAGCATTTTTGTGTTAATGATGGAAGATTCTTTTAGAAATTAACTTCCAAATAATGTAATATTGTATAATATTTCCCATTCAAACTCTTCATCAGTAACAGTTCAAGTGGTCACTGAATTGCTAAATACATTGAGGATATTTGATTTAAATAGCTGAAAATATGATTTGAAACGTTTGACTTTGCAATCTGTCATGGGACAATATACCTATTATTGTTAAAATTGTTAAGTTCAATTTAAATCAACTAATTTATCAGTTGCTTGACTCATTCTGTAGTGCAACATCTGATAAAGAAAACTAAAATGTAATAATTGAACTCTGTAAGTAATTAAAGATAACTAGAAGCTGGGTATGAAATGGTGTTTGTAAGGCATTTGATGTCTCGTGTTAACTATTTTATGTCACTTTCAGTTAATCGTAAGAAACTGAAAGCAGAGGTGAGAGACAGCAGCACTTTTTATTTTGTTGAATAACTACCTACATAAAATCACATTTTTGTTCTACTTGTAAGTAGAAATAATGAATGTATGTGAAGCAAGTTGGCTCATAATGGTGCTAAGCTAATTTTTTTAACTTATATTGATTCATGAATATAATTTTTGTGCACATGTGAAATGTGTCACAAGTAAACCAATGGACAATGTGGTTATCTACTTATTGATCAATTAGTGCAGACATCACATGAAATTGATGTATTTGTTCAATTGTTTGTGTGTCATAATCACTATAACTACTTGATCATGTCATTTAAATGTGTGTAAATGCTGTACCTAATGTACACTGTGAAAAGAAATATGATTTTTTTCTATTGAGGAAGGGTATTAGCATTAATTATTCTGTATTAGAGGCAGAGACTGAGACAGTGAGAAGCATAAGCTCGAAATTTAGAAATTATGTTTATTTCAGATACTTGAAAGATAACTAAATGGGTAAAGCTTATCTCTCTTCAGATATCAATGCCTGAAATTATTTCTTCAGGCAAGACGTTTTGTCACTTTTATTTATTTTGTGGGGATGTATTTTTTATATCACAAAATTATCATTATGTTGCTGGAATCAATATATATTTTTTAATGTAGTCAATGCAAAATTAATGTTAGTCAGAGATTGGACTTAAGTTTAGGGATTTGTCATTTTGAGCACAGTAAATACCAATGCATAATTCTAAATGTATTACAGTACAACTATAAATGAAAAGAGGATTCTTCATCCAGGAATCAAACGGGATGAAATTCAAAGATCAATCTTCTTATCATTCACAGTTGTGAAATATGAAATTACTGTAACATGTAAATATTATGTATATATGATTTGTACATAATTGTACCTGTTATTAGACTTAGGTTAGTACTCTCTTTTGAATGTAAGATTGGGGAACATAATGTTACCAACTTTTTTTAGCAGAAATTCTGTGATAAACTTAAGTCTATAACATTAAACTTCTGAAATGTTCAGAAATTTCTTCTAACAGCAAGTTTTCCACCCTACTGTTCTTATATGTTAAGCATATGTTTACCCATCTCTTTCTTTGGTTGTTTGATTGCATGCATTTCTTGGATATTGGGGTTCTGCTAAAGTTATATTATCTAGGAAAAAATAATTATGTCATTCCAAAGTTGTATCATATGCTAAGGGGTAAAGGAAACTTAGAAAATGAACGTTTGAAGTATTTGTATGTATGTGTGTGAGAAAGTGTGTCAGGTAGAAATACATATTACTGAAGCAGGAAGGTTTCAGATAATTTAGTGAATTGGTTTTGATTGTGTGAGACTACTAATGTAAATAATAATCATTAAAGGAAGTAAACTCTTAAATGAAATAGCAGAGAAGTAAGAGAATTTGCACTTTCAAGTGGATTCAGTGGCATCTATCTCTGCATGAAATTTTCTGGGTAAAGAGTAACTTCATTTCTAATGTTTCTATTTCTAACATAATTGTGTGAAAATATTGCTTTTAGTTGTCAAAGAACTGAAGATAACACAGTATTGTGTTTGCAAGTAGTAAATTGTAGAGGGGAAAACAAACGCTACTTAGATTCTGAAGTGAAATTATTAACATAATTGTCATCATCTATAAATAGTATGTACCATTTCAGAAATCAACACAAAATATGCAAGGAATTGACATATTTTGTAATAACAAAGAATTAATTCACTTTGATATGAAGTAGAAATAACATTTCTTTTTGTAGACTCTCCATTTACACACATATCTTATATCCATTTTCATGAAATATGTGGGTGGGAAACTAATTTTGTGAAGGATTTGAAATATGTGTAGGTTTTGTTTTAACTTCACTAAGGAAATATACATTTGATTGAATTTTATTCCAATTTTGGTACACATATTGTTTTATAAGAATGTGAAAGTCTTTGTGAGATGTCTCTTGTGTTAATCAACAAGTATTTTACAAATGTGAATTTCCTGAATACCATTCAGGAAATTAGGGTTCTGAGCAGTATAGCATTTCTATGTGAGTATTTTTCTTAGAAGGGTTGCTAATTTTAATACGTGTATGTACTGGTTTTTCAAGGCTGACATTGAAATACTTTGCTGTAACTCTCACCTTGTCATCTTCCTAGTCTTAGGATTATTATCCATGTATTTTCTTATAAATTTTATATAAATAATAGGAGTCTTTGTTGCCTTATTCAACTTTTTTGATATGTGGAAAGAGAAAGACAGAAACGCTTATTGACCATCTCATATCAGTACAAATTTACGTTGGTGTACGATTTGAAGCTCTTGGAGAAGCATTGTTGCCATTATATGGGCTTTTTCCCAAACAATGAATTACTAGGAGTGCTAGCAAAAACCTAGCTTTAACTCAAAAAACAGCAGAGCAGAGGATGATAATACTGATGAAGTAAAGTATCTTAAGATGCTTTATTTATTATCATATTTATGTATTTATTTATTTATTATTTATTTATTTACTTATTTACTTACCTTCTATTCAACTACCGACTTATGTAAACTGTAACCAAGAAGAAGTAGAACAAGAAGAATTAAAGAAAATACTAAAAACCTTTCAAATTTTCCAAGGGATCAAAATCAATTAATTGCACCTTAACATTTTGTCTTGTAAATATATTGCATTGAAATTTTTCATATATATAGTCTAAATAACTGCTGACAGTGACATCCACTTACAGATCAGTACAAACTGTAGATTTTAACATGTCTGTTAACATCTACTGTCCTTCCTTCTTTCTCTTTGTTATATTATTACACTTTAGGATTAAGGTAAAGATTGCCTTAAAATTATCCTTGTGAAATTTCGGGGGTTCACACTGAACAGTGTGTTTTAACAAAATATATGGCAACAAACTGTCTCCAATTTACTTCTTTGTGTGGACAATGTCTGTGAGATTACTGAACCTTGTATGTCTGAGATAAAATGCTAAACTAGTATGAGATGGACGATTGAATTAGGATGGCTAAGAGGCATGAATTCCAACTTTTCCAAAACATTACCTTAATGTTGAATAATGTTCTTCAATAACATCAGTAAGTGGGGAGATTTAATTTTAGTGCTTTGGGCCTGTCTTAATTTCCTGTAGCTAAATTTTTACAGTGCACTAAGTTCAAATATTAAGTAGTAAGTAAAGTAAAATATATTTGAAAATAATAACAATTTGTTGAATATTTTTCTGATAAAGATTGAGGGCCTTGCAACTTTGAGACTATTGGATTCATGCCTAAACATAATCTATATATAATTGTAGTAATTTCTTAGTGTTGGGGAATTTTGGACATTCTACATCGACGGTTATGAAAATGATAATTCGTAACTCACTGAATTAGTATTCTCCATCTGTTAGAGTTCTAGTGCAGCAATGTTTGAACTACAATTTGAGCCAGACATTAGGTGAAGTAAAATTGTTCAGTAATTGGTTTTAAAGTGACAGAGTTGAGTGATTCTTGTTTGTAGATTTGTCAATCTAAAACATTTTTTAGGGTAGGGAAGTAAGAAAACCTTTTTTTATGTATTTCATGTGGCAATTTCTGGAAATTACATTTTGGATCTTCATAATAATATATATTATAATTGTTCATATTGTGCAAATATTTTTGTATAGCTTTCAAGAAATGTACATTGTAGACAATAGTACAATTGTCTGGCGTGAAACTTGTATGTATTTTGTATCTTGATGTAAATCAGCCAGAATTGATGTGTGGTTTTTTTTTTTTTTTTTTTTTTTAATTATGTTTGAATGGACTTAAAATGTCCTCATTCGTAATATCGTTCAAATGAAAGGATATTGTCAATAAAAGCCTGAAAGATTAAAGTTTTATAAATTTCTAGATTATTAACTGATATTCATTGGTAAAATCAGTCTATGCTTGGATTTTTTCTGCTGGAAGGCTGAAATCCCTGAAGGCTTCCCCCTATAAAAGAGACAGTTTTCTTCTTCTGCATCACGATAAATGATTAGGATCCCTTCCAACTCAATGGACTATTTACAATTGTTCTGAAATAAAATCAAATCTTCATATTTTTAGATAAAATCATTATTTAATTATATATCTCATTGGTAAAAGTGGAATACATGAGTATTCTACTTTTAGATTCATTGAGTACCATATTTCTTTTTTCCCCCTATTCGCACCTAGACTTCTTGCTATTTTTAAAACATATAATATTGCTTTTCATTGGAAATTTTCTAGTTTATATTGGGAGTGTATGTTTATTTCAGTCTTCCAAGTGTAATTCTATAAAACTTAGAGCTTTATTTTCAATACATTTATAAATAAGAACTTGAAAACATTTAGATATTGGACCTTTCAATTCTGGCATGGTTAACAAGCACCCTTTACAATTTGCTTAATGTTGACATTGTATAAATATTTTTGTATTGTTATTGTTTTTGCATTGTTGTTTGTATGTTGAATGCATTAATATTGTCTTTGTATGAAATGAGGAATAACTGAAATGAATAATTTTTTCCTAAAGATGGACTGGAAAATCATAGACTTTTCAATGGCTGGGAAGAGCTTTTTTATAGCTCAATTGCTATTTAGGTGTTTTTATAAAACAGGTCACAAACTCAGAGGGCAGGCACAGGAGGTCGAGGGAAGCAGTTTTTTTTGGTGGGGTCTAGAGACCAGAGCTTGGCATTGATCTGTTTAAAAAAACGTCCCTGTGAGGCCGCAGTACTGACTCACACTCGAGTATTTTTCTTGGACACAATCTAGCAGATTTCTTAGACCCAGGGTCCATTAATAACAACTGCTTTCCTAGATCTCCTCTGCATGTCCTCTGTGTTTGTATGCTTTTTTTGTGGCACATTTTGTATAAAGGAAATATGAACTTGGCGGGTATATAGATAAATCTTGAAGTTAGTGATTATGATTGAAATGTATATATTTCACCAGAATCATTTCTCTCATTTGCACATAGTTTGGACAGTGGTGTAACTCCAGACAGGCTGAACATTTAGTTTTCCAATGAAATAGTTTTCTTTATTTGTGATCCAAAATTTGATTACTATCAATAAAACAAATGGAGTCAAATTCAAAATTTTTAAAAATATTGATTACATGAATATTTGGATGACCATGAGTGGCTGACTTTACAAATTATGAGAATGTCAATAAACCTCATTGTACTTATCGAGTAACTAAACATGAATCAAGAGGCAAAAGTGTGAACAAGTGAAAGTCAATTGGTTCCAAGTCAACAATGGAGTGAGACTCACCAGGATTGTTTAACCTATATACAGAACATATTATGAGAATGGCAGACATAGAGGAAATGGACATATGCATCAAAATTGGGAGAAGTCAAACCAACAACTTAAGATATGCTGATGATACCATGCTCATTACTGATAACAGGGAAGATCTTGAAAGATTAGTAATTAAAATAGCAGAAGAGAGCAGGAAAGCAGGACTAAAACTAAATTTAAAGGAAACAACATTTATGTCAACTGGTGAAAAAGGAAGTCTGGACATCTTGGTAGAAGTGGTATACGTGGCAGATGAAGTTGAATACTTAGGAATTACAATAACAAGCTTTGGACACTTGAATTACAGAGACGACAATTATAGTTTTGTAAACATAATACTGATTGAACGAAAGGTTAAACGTTAATTTATGTTGGCCACTCTGTGGGTGCTGCAGGAAAGAGTTGCATGAGCTAAGCAAATCAATTTGGCATAAAATTGAACTGGAATTTTGTAATTTCCAGAATAAAGGTTATTTTAGATTACCTTTACTTTCTTTTATTTAAAAAATCTCTTATGATACAAAAACTACAATAACAAAAATAGTACTCTCAAGTAGTGACCATGTTAAGTATGATTTAACGGTGCAAAATTTTTAAACAGTTCAGCTCAAGAGATGGTCTGAATCACATATAAAATATTTTTGCTAAAGCTAGAAAAAAGTTCTTTGAGGAACAATAACCTATGGTTATTGTCAATTTCACAAGCATCACATTTTAAACTTTATTATTTGATTTGATTAATGCCACTTGCAATCAAATCAATTTTTATTTAGTTATTAATTATACTTAATTAAAAGTATAAAAATGAAATATTTTATTTTTGTTGAGAAACTGTTAATGCTCAATTAACTGGTGTCAGTCTAGTTATGTTCAGTCTCCTTTAAATTGTGACTTGAGTGCCTTGTCTTGTTACACCACTGAACAGGAGTGTTTTTGAAGCAGCAATATTGAGTATGTTATGACTGTCCAGTTAAAGTTGTCATTACATAGAGGCACTGAATTGTGAAAGTTTGTGACATGTAGTTGTGCCAGGAGAAATTAATATCATTTTCTTTCTCCATTTATTTTGTCAAATTTAAGAACACAGCTTCTTATATAAGAAAATGCAATGACTTTGACTATGTATTATATTCTATAATAGAAGGTAACTCTCTTGAATTCCTTAGCTTTGACATCTGTCTTTATTTATTTTAAAGTCAATATACACTTCTAAGGTGATGCTGAATTAGTACGGGTTCTTTCTGTAGTAAAACATTCTTAATGTTCCAATGACCGTGCAGTGTTACATCATAAATGTCAAATTTGGAAACATGAAATGTTACATTATTTCATAAAAATACCAACAGATATAAGCAAATGCTGCACTGGTAGATTAGAAGTTTTAATACATCTATTCTGAGGTTTTCAGTCATCAGTAACATTGACATACTTCACCAGTAATGTTTTACAGAACTAATTAAGGTAACATATACAAGCTTCCATAAGACTTTGATCTTTTTCAGGGACTGAGTTATTTCAGGGTTATATGGTCAATTGTAGTAAATTTGAAATAAACAGTGTGTGAAAACGTGCAATTTATGTATATGGTGATAAATTGTGGTGTAATTGAATGTATGATGTGCTAAACGTTACCAGTGTAACGACATGCATACCCTATTCATGGTAAGCGGATGTAGAGGGGTACACATCGCACATATCTATGTCATACCTATATTTTTGTATATTTTGTGCGCTTAATATTACTACATATCATTGATGCATGTGAGACCGTACAATACAATAGCTAGATCTGCAGGGATTGTATTTTGAGAAGTGTCTTATGTTAAATATACAACTATAAGTTTTTAAGAATTGTTTACTTATTTATATATCCTATTTATCTGAACCTTTCCTTTTGGATAATGAAATTAGTTTGTAAGATATATAATTTTAGAGTTTCCTGTAATTTTCATTTACTTCATATTTTGTAGTAAGATGTTTTAATACCTTCTTCCATATCTCATTTATTTATTTAGTGATCTACATTATTCTTTTGTAACTATAACACATAAAAAATAATTAGCTGAGGCTATAGCTAGAAATTAGGTGGCAACAGCTGAGAATCCTACCTCCCATTGTTTCTCTGCTTTAACCACATTTCTCTAGATACAGTTGATTGTTTTCTTAATAATAGAAGTAGCCCTACTTTAATGGAATGATTTTTTCAATACTACATAATAAACTGGTGAGGTTTTCCTCTCCAATTCTGCTTTGCAATAGTTTTTTTATTAATTTCAGTTGTGAAAATGATTGTTCGGCGAAGCTATAGTCAGAGAAACTGGTAAGGCAATGATGCTTGCTGTGCATATATGAGGAAAACTTGATGAACTCGGATTATTATCAACAATTCTGTTAATTGTGGGATGAAACAAGTTCTATTTCTAATCAGGTAAATAATTTCTAAATCGAAAAGTGAACAAAAGTGAAAAGTTCATTGTATGGTGGCAACTACTTGGGAATTTCTTTAATTTTGTTTCTAACCTTCATATCTTGGTTGCCCCAAAAAATGTGAGTTCAAATATGTTCTTTTAGTGCTCTTAAATTTTTTCCTTCCCCTAAACACTTCCTGTTTTGACATTTTTTATAAACACTTCTTTTTATTTATTGGAATTATTTCCCATTGGTGAAATTGAAGTTTTAATGCTCAAATGTTGCTAATAACCATTGTTATTATTTACTATATTTTCTTTTGTGTACTCTGTAACATTAATTTACATAAAAATAAGTGAAACAATAACAACATTTTTATAGTGAGTTTTCACACAAGATATAATTCTGCCTTGACTCACATTTCTACATTTCAATTTTTATTACACTAATGTATTTATTATCATATTTACTAAGTACAAACACACTGTACTACTTGTTTTCAAATAATAGAAGAACATGTCACACAAAATCTTATTTTATAATAGGATAACCAACAATTTTCAAACCAATCAATATATTTATTATTATTTGTTTAGTTATATATTCTATTTATTTAGGATTACTATGAGAAAACAAATTCTATGCTTTGGAATATTGTTAATACATTGTAACTGAATGGTTTTTATAAACAAATCCTAAAAAAAAAGCTGCTCTGCATTTACATTCTTGATAGGTACTTTATGTTTTCAATTTGAATACTTCCTCTTCAGTGTATTATGATTGAAAACAGTTACACATAAAGCTTTCTAATTTCTTGCTAAGTTGGATTTTTTACCTATAATTCTCTAAATATGTGATCACTTTTTGACCTTTGGTCATGTGGAGGTGATTTATTGTCAGAGTTGGGCAAATACTTGAAAAAAGTATTTCAGATACAAAATACTTTGTCGAAAGTATTTTAGATACCAAATACAAAATACTTCCATAAAAGCATTTTAGATACAAAATAGTTATGAAGCATTTTTTATTCTAAAATACTTTTGAAAATACAAAATACAACTAGTAGTGACCCAGTTTCACAATTTATTTCTCAAAATTTGGTTGTGGTTTACGATTGTATACAATTGGACATGTTTCCCTTCAAGACTACTATATTTTTCAATCATTCAATCATCATAATTTTTCTTCTTGTAATATTGTAATTGATAAGGCTCTTGTTCCATTAACATTGAATTTTGTTACAAGAGCATTAAATTTTGTTTGATCATTTCATTTTTCCTGAGTATTTAAGAAACCAGATGTTAAGCTTGTTTGTTTTAACTTCTTGATATTAGTATCACTATTCTCAGGACTGTTCATTTTCCTCCTATATGAATTTTATCTTTTGAACCAGACATTTTTATAGTTCTCAAATTCCCTCATCACACTTAGATGAAATTTCATTGTGTAAAGAATTTATCAGTATCCTAGTAAAAAGAATGACCACAGAAATTCACAGTCTATTGTACACCATTGTGTGCCTTTTAAAAATTATAATATTACTATTCATTATATATAGCTTTAAGTGTGTCATGAAAATTGTGATCACATTGTAGGATCCACTTATTATTGTCCGAGTGGCAGGCTTACAAATTTCACATGACGCTTTCACTTTTGCACTCAACTCTTCAATAACAGTGAAATATGTTCCATCTAGAATAGCAAATTTTGATGATTTATCAATTTCCATCCTCATATCATAAGATTAGCTATTTACACGGGGGAAAGGAGGACCACCTTTGCAGGAAACGAAAACTTGCTTCAAAATATCATTAATTTGTGTTATTGATGTTTGTGTTTTCCAGGTTAGACTGTATATTTAAATTCAAATTTTCAATGGCAGATCAATAAAAAGAATTTTTGTTTTTGAAAATTCAAAATACTATCAAAAAGTGTTTTCGACACAAATACAAAATACATGTTCAAATATGTATTTTCAATACAAAATACAAATTACAAAAGTATCAAAAATACATATTTTAAATGCAAGTATTTACTGACCAACTCTACATATAGTTGATGTATTTCGAGATCCATTTTGTTGTCCCAGTAATATTTTTTTGTGCAATGAAGAAACATGGGAAACAAAGGTTATCTGAAAAAACTGAGGAAAGTTTGAGAATGTTTATGACTGTCTGATATGTTACACATTTTGATGTACAAAGCAATAATGTTTATGGTAGCTTCAGTAGACTCAACTATTAATTACAGACCACACTGAACATTTAAACTAACTTGTAGTTTGATACTTCATCCCATAATTTGGATTCAGAAAGGACAACAATGAACTTTACTCTGTGTTTACTAATCATATAATACAAGATATAGGTTATTTTAAAAGTAAAGAATAAGATTATTTAAGATGGGAAATAAGTTGAAAATCGTACTTTCCAAATTGTAATAATTTTTGATTCTTTCTCAATCCTATCCTTCCTCTACAAGGGTGGATGCAAAAGGAGAGTAAGCTTACGTTTAGGGCTGATTATGTAATATGAATTGTATTCATAAACAAAACATTTAATTTACAAATAAATATACAAATATATAATTTTCTAACTATTGATTGAAAGGCTTGTGTTAAATAATATCCTGAGTCTATTCTTTAAAGATATATTAAAAATTTTAATGGCTACTTGTGGGATATTAAAACAGACAGATGCTGCAATATGAAAATGAAAAGCAACAAATTGATGAATGTGACAATTAATTGGCAAAACCAACAAGTAGTAATGCACATATTTGTTCTATCTCAATTGACTGATAAAGCTTAGACCAAAAGACACAGCTGTGTTTTTGACAGAAATTATACAGTGATATGAAAAGCTTTTATTCAACATCCATGGTGATCCAAGAATATTTATCCCTCATCGACTTAACAGACTTTTCACGTAGACATCTGTGCTACACTACAAAAACT